ACGTTTATAATTTAGCAAAATTCCGGTATAGAAGCAGCGTATGAATCTTAAGCTGCGCAAATACGCCCTGGAGCCAGCACTTCAAAATTTGCATAGTCGAAACAAAGATTTATACAAAATAATAAAGGTCTAAAATATTTTAGTATATAGAAACTCATTATTATCTAAATCTAGATAGAATTATCTATATTCTAGATCTACGACTGGTTTGCTAAAGTCTCGTTTCTTTTTTGGTTTGTATTAAGATCTATAACTAATAAATTTTTGATTTGACCTAGATTTAGATTCTAGATCTAGATCTATAAATAAATAACTTTCTTGGACAGATTGTAGATCTAGAGAAATTTATTGTAAAACTAAATGAAAAAAGACAGTTGAAAATTGATATAAGTGTTGGAACGTAATAAATACAGCAAACGGACGTATTGTTAAAGTTATGACCGACAGAAAATTAGATTTGATTTGACCTAGATTCTAGATCTAGATCTAGATCTATAAATAACTTTCCTTCGACAGCTGATCTTTAGATCTAGAGAAATTTATTGTAAAACTAAATGAAAAAAGACAGTTTAAAATTGATATAAGTGTTGGAACGTAATAAATACAGCAAACGGACGTATTGTTTAAGTTATAGCCGGCAGAAAATTAGCTTTGTAACGCGTGAAACTTTTGAATGGGCCACAAAGTCTATGATGGGGTCCGCCATTTTTATTGTACCAAAAATGTAAACACATCAAGGGACGTCACTATCCCCACAAAGTTTATTCAAAGTATTAACATTTTTAAAAAAATACGGTTAATTTAACTATGAATAAATCAATAAATTAATTAACGTCTTTAAATAAATTTGTGATTAACAGTCTGTCTTAAAACAAAAAATTTTCTCTACCTACATACTATTTTACAGCTTTCCACGATGAGTGCAACCATGCGAGATAGTCGATCAGGCAAACAAACAAACAAACAAAAAAATAAATATTCAAACATGTAAACAAACTTGACTTTTAGTAGTATATAGATAGATAGATAGATAAAGAAAAGCGTGGGTCACTTTAGTATCTATTGGATACCTTTACTAATGTTAAGGAAGACACCCACGCTTTTCTTTATAGTTATTTAAATAGTAGTCTATAATTTATTTTCTACTTTTTAGTGCATCATTACATAAAAGCTTGTTATTAAAACGTTTTTTATGAATTTTTTTTTCTGTACTTTACATGTTTTATTTAGAGTTAGATGACTAAAAACCATTGCGCGCCTACTGAACATCACGTTCAGTAGGCGCGCAATGGTTTTTGAACGCAGCCATTGAAGCTATTGAAGGTGATGACGCGTGTGGTGTGGTTGGCTAGACATGCCTACTAATTCGGTCCAAATTTTAATTAATTAATAAAAAATTAATTAGGCATCCAATTAAGTCAAATTTAGTTTCAGATTGCATTGTCTTCATGTCTTGACCCACGTGCCAACTGTGAATCGTATCGGTCAAGTAGAACTGTCCGAATTTTCACTCCTGCGTTTCCGTCTAGACAGACAGACTGTCGACTGACGACAGAGGAAGTGAGTTAAATAAAAGCTTGTAAAAAAAATTCATAAAAAACGTTTTAATAACAAGCTTTTATGTAATGATGCACTAAAAAGTAGAAAATAAATTATAGACTACTATTTAAATAACTATAAAGAAAAGCGTGGGGCACTTTAGTACTTTAGTACCTATTTTATATCTTTACTAATATTTGAGAAGAGACCCACGCTTTTCTTTATAGTTATTTAAATAGTAGTCTATAATTTATTTTCTACTTTTTAGTGCATCATTACATAAAAGCTTGTTATTAAAACGTTTTTTATGAATTTTTTTTCAGTACTTTACATGTTTTATCTACAATAGAGTTACATGACTAAAAACCATTGCGCGCCTACTGAATATCACGTTCAGTAGGCGCGCAATGGTTTTTGAACGCAGCCATTACGTGGTCGTGATGGCGCAGCTATTGATGACGCGTGTGGTGTGGTTGGCTAGACATGCCTACTAATTCGGTCCAAATTTTAATTAATTCATAAAAAATCAATTAGGCATCCAATTAAGTCAAATTTAGTTTCAGATTGCATTGTCTTCATGTCTTGACCCACGTGCCAAATGTGAATCGTGTCGGTCAAGTAGAACTGTCCGAATTTTCACTCCTGCGTTTCCGTCTAGACTGACGACAGACTGACGACAGAGGAAGTGAGTTAAATAAAAGCTTGTAAAAACAAAACTTCCACCTCAACTAATATTCTAGTGTGGTATTTTTTTTTTCTAACTAATAATATTTGTAAAGGGAGCGCTAGACTGCTAATCTGAAAGAGTACCTAAACTTACCATGTAAGAATCACCTTGGCATAGTTTTTTGTTTTAGACTTTCAGACGTTTTAAAATGAAAGCAGAAGAAACCGTACGGCTATGTCAAGTTGATACCTTAGTCAATCTTTAATTTACATCATTATGATGGCGTAATTAGCATTAGTGTCCGATATATTTAAAATAAGAGACAAAAAGGAAGGATTAGCTATACTTAAAAAAAACAAATATTGTGTTAGGTGTACTTCTGCTAGAAAGATTGTCGAGAGTTGGAACCTACAACGTAATTTGTCGATCTCTATGATCATGAGATCGTGAATTTATTGTATCGTTTTAACTAAAATAAAGTTTAAATCTTATTTTTTAATAATATTGTTCTATCTTGTAGTAATTTGTTACTAACATTGAAAATGTAATTTTTTTTTATTTCTAAGAAAATTTATTTTATATTTAATTTTTGGAAATGTAATATATTTTTCCATCAAGTTGTGGAGAATTATTCTAGTTATCACGACATAATTTAATGGTTAGATTTTATTTATGGGTTGTGTTGGGGCGTGTGACGTGTCTTTGGCTTAATTGGAGTTATGATTCGTGGTATCACTACATTGGCCATGTCTTCAACTAAGTAGCTAGACATGTTTAGATAACTATAACCATTTTTATATAATCTCGTATAACCTCTGCATAAAGTATGTATAAAAAATAAATATAAAAAAATAAGTATAACAAATAACGTAAACCAAAATAAAAGTACAAAAAATAATTAATTAATGTAAACAATAAACAGGAATGTTTTGCAAAAGGTTCCCGTTATTCGATTAACCAGAATGTTATCGTCTGATTCAAACCTGTTAGCATGTCGAAAAGAAATTTGCATTTTAATAAGCACTGGTGAAGGTTTTCTATATGTAAAAAAATTAGTTGACCTGTTTATTATGTTGATCTAAATAACAGGAATACATTTTATATTCTGCCTTTGATGTCAACAAAGTAGTTAACACTTAAATGGCAAGACACTTGTTTACACTTTAATGTTAACAAACGAGTAAAAACTTTAGCGTCAAGTCTTAAACTTTCTTTTTCTTTTCGTTTAATTAAGTTTAATGCAAACAAACTGGTTAACATTTTAATGTTAACAAACTTTGTTAACACTTTAATTTCATCAAATTGATTAACACTTTAAGGACAACAAACTGGTTAACACTTTAAGGACAACAAACTGGTTAACACTTTCATGTTAACAAACTTTGTTAACACTTTAATATTAACAAACTGGTTAACACTTTAAGGACAAAAAAACTGGTTAACACTTTAATGTTAACAAACTTTGTTAACACTTTAATATTAACAAACTTTGTTAACACTTTAATATTAACAAACTGGTTAACACTTTAAAGACAACAAACTTGTTAACACTTTCATGTTAACAAAGTAGTAACATTTTAAGTGTCAACAAGTTTTCAACTTCATTTTTCTGTTCGTCAAAGGCGTCTCCGTCTCACTCCGGATCCTCTCTGGGTACAAAGAAAACACAGAAAGAAACCCGTTTTAGCTACATATGCCGACTTCCGCGCTAAGCTTCAATAGAGGTGACAGGAAATGCAAGGATTTTTCTCAATATATTTTTATACCTTTATGTTAATATCTGCTGTTTGTTGTTGTTTTGTTTTTGCTTTTTTTTGGGGGGGGGGGGGGATCTTTTCTTCACGAAAACTTGTTATTCATCGACTGTTATTTACGATGCGATATAATGTTTTCAACCTTGAATCACTTGCGAATTTTAAAAAAAAAATTTATTAAGGAAATGATTAGTTCTCTTCTTTTTTTAATGTTACGGTCCATGGGGCAAGTGAAGTAGAGTTCCACTGTTTATGTTACCTTGGCATATAAGAGGATAGTGATGTCAACACTCAGCACAATGTTATCATGTTTCGATTATTGCGGGATAGAGTTTTTTTAATCCTCCGTGGTGTCCCCGCCAACAGATATATATATGTATATATATATATATATATATATATATATATATATATATATATATATATATATATATATATATATATATATATATATATATATATATAAATGTATATATAAATGTATATATATATATATATATATATATATATATATATATATATATATATATATATATATATATATATGTGTAATTATATATATACATATATAATAGTTATGTTAAAAACATGTTTTTGCGAATATTAACGAGAAGTTTCTATGTTTGATTTGTCAAAGATCTACTTCCTTCTTTGTTTTTGCCTGTCAAAATTAAAAACGACTGGGTACTTTGCGTTGTTGGTCAGTCAAAACGAACCTCTACAAACACCAGAGTTTCTTCCAGGCAACTCTTCGAGGGGAGGGGGCATCCCGGCCGAAGAAAGTCTACCGCCCCACACCCCACTCAATCACCTCTTTTTGATTTTATATATATATATATATATATATATATATATATATATATATATATATATATATATATATATATATATATATATATATATATGACACCTATCAGGTTTACGTGTTATTAATCTGTAGGCTGAATTAGACATATCGCTTTCAACAGAAAAACCCGCTGTTATTAAAATTATACCATTGGTTAAAAATGATACCCTTGAACTATGTTAACTTTCTACAGGCTGAGTGCCACATCCGCCACATCCACCTACATCATGTCGCCCTACAGCTACCCCTCACTGACCAACCGTGGGAGCTACTCCAGCACTACCGCTGCCTACATCATCCTGTTCATTATTTAGCTCAGGTAACTCTCAGTACTAAGGTAATCATCTGTTTTAGGTGGGAGTTGTCTGTATATTATATCAACTAACCAATATGTAATAAAGCATTCATATATACAGAACTAACAGCCAACCCTCTAACATAGTACCACAAAACTAACCACCAACCCTCTATTATAGTACCACAACACTAAAAGCCAACCCTCTACCAAAGTAGCACTTCTTAATGTCAGATATCCTAGAATCTAGGATATGTAGACGAACTTCTTCGGGGAGGGAATTGAGGAATTCTTCTCTCAAGACCAGACATTTGAGCTGTTCAAAATCTCTGACATCTTCTGATTGGAGCCACCTAGACTGGTTGGTATGTTCAGCAAGGTTGTGACCAGCTCTGGTTGGTATGTTAACTAAGGTTGTGACCAGTGCTGGTTGGTTTGTTATCTAAGGTTGTGACCAACTCTGGTTGGTATGTTAACTAAGGTTGTGACCAGTTCTGGTTGGTATGTTAACTAAGGTTGTGGCCTGCTCTGGTTGGTATGTTAACTAAGGTTGTGACCAGTGCTGGTTGGTATGTTAACTAAGGTTGTGACCAGCGCTGGTTGGTATGTTAACTAAGGTTGTGACCAGCGCTGGTTGGTATGTTAACTAAGGTTGTGACCAGTGCTGGTTGGTATGTTAACTAAGGTTGTGACCAGCGCTGGTTGGTATGTTAACTAAGGTTGTGACCAGTGCTGGTTGGTATGTTAACTAAGGTTGTGACCAACTCTGGTTGGTATGTTAACTAAGGTTGTGACCAGTTCTGGTTGGTATATTAACTAAGGTTGTGACCAGTGCTGGTTTGTATGTTAACTAAGGTTGTGACCAGCTCTGGTTGGTATGTTAACTAAGGTTGTGACCAGTGCTGGTTGGTATGTTAACTAAGGTTGTGACCAGTGCTGGTTGGTATATTAACTAAGGTTGGGACCAGTGCGACCTACTTAGGTCTAGTAATGTTTTATTTTTAGTTTGACTTTTGTTATAATACCATATATGGTTTGTGGTGCAACAACCGGTTTTTTTCCGCTGTCTTACTAGAGAGTCTTAGACTCAGAAATTTTCCATCGAGAGATGATTGATTGTTTCAGACCAGATGACCACCTCAACCAATGGTCTTACGATCTGAAGGTGACCTTCCATGTTACCTAAGTCTATATATAGATCGCCCACAGGTGTCTCCAGGCAGTCCTTTTTGACCAGTTGAACGTGAGAAAGCTTAAGTCCTGAGTGTGCTATATATTATTAAGTTGTTTAAGTATTCAAGTATTATATTACTTGTGGCCAAGTGATTCTTGATGCTATAGCAGTGTTATGTGACCTGTGGCTATTTTTATAAAGTGTTAGAATCTGTGATAGTATTTATTCTTACGCTTTGTAAGTTGGGTTTTGTTATTTCTAAACTAAATATTTTATCTTGTTTAACCTAGTGTTCTGCCACAACTTTGTTCACTTATTAAAGGTTGTATGCAGATTGAATGAGTTGCTAACTTCAATAGTTTCACTAGTTTTTTCTAGACCTCGAAATCGAGCCCTAGTGAGTTGTTGAGTTAGTTTTCATTCATTTAGGCTTTAGGTCATTTGCATATAACCCCAAGAAAGAATCCGGGAGCGTTCACCATCTATCTGGCTGGTAGATAGGTGTCCGTTACACCAGCTCTGGTTGGTATGTTAACTAAGGTTGTGACCAGTGCTGGTTGGTATGTTAACTAAGGTTGTGACCAGCTCTGGTTGGTATGTTAACTAAGGTTGTGCAGCTGGTTGGTATGTTAACTAAGGTTGTGACCAGTGCTGGTTGGTATGTTAACTAAGGTTGTGACCAGTGCTGGTTGGTATGTTAACTAAGGTTGTGACCAGCTCTGGTTGGTATGTTAACTAAGATTGTGACCAGCTCTGGTTGGTATGTTAACTAAGGTTGTGACCAGTTCTGGTTGGTATGTTAACTAAGGTTGTGACCAGTGCTGGTTGGTATGTTAACTAAGGTTGTGACCAGTGCTGGTTGGTATGTTAACTAAGGTTGGGACCAGCACTGGTTGGTATGTTCAGCAAGGTTGTGACCAGCGATGGTTGTTTTCTTGTCAATTGAGCGTGAACAAAACTGATATGGTCGATTTGTGTCTAATTTCGTTGAAACTAACTGGATCATCAAAATACAGATCTGACATTTTCTGTTCCTCAACATATTCTAGCACAGTGGTTCTTTACATATTTGGAGGTACCGAACTCTACTAGTTTCATCAAATCGCATTCACCGAACCCTCCTTAATAGTTTTATCGACCGCACCGACTAATCCGATCATTAATCGTTTCAGTAGGATGTGTTTCTTGACTTCCGTGAAATCCATGAGACTGATTCACCGAATATCTGGGTTTAAATCGAACTCAGGTTAAGAACCACTGTTCCAGTTATTAACTTTAAATCCAGTTGATAAAAAGATACATGATGAATTTTAACAAAATTTTAATCATATTTATAAAATGTTGCATTAAAAGTGATAAGTCATTAATACAAATCCTGTATAATGTTTAAATAATTGACTAAAATTAGTGACTTTGAAAACCATTGTAAAAATACTGTCTTATTAATATTAAAACAATTTTAAAATAAAAAGGTGCCCAAACCTCCCTTAGCGATATAAAAAGGGTTGGCGATATAAATATTTAGGAACTAAAATAATTTAAAATGTAACTTACATAACGTTAATCCTGAGAGGTTTCTTTAATTAATGTTTATTTTATTTGAAACTTTTAAACCCCCAAAACTAGATTAGGTAATAATTTGGGGATGCAACGAAAAATAGTTTCAATCACTTAGTATTGTACTGCAATAGAATTAGCAGAGACAAATGTATGTTAAGAGTTAGGCTTAGACTTAATCAAGATTATATGTATGTCTCTTATAAACCATAGGTTAGGTTTAGAGTACATTAAGTATAATACCAGCTGTATATATCAGTCTGGCTAATGGACAACAAATGAATTGAGTTATTTTTCATCCATTGACAATGGACTTGTCTTGATGTCCACTTTCTGGTCAGTCCAGCTGAGGTAGACACAGGTGCCCCGGGTGATGATCTGGGGGTGGGTGGCCGAGTGCTCCACGCCATCTTTGTCCAGCCACTTCTCCACCATCATGTCCACACACTCCTAAGAGCCGAGGGGGGGGGGGGGCGGGAGGTGGGAAGGTGAAAAAGAAAAAGATTGTTATATATATTTTTTCAACCTCCGTGTTTGTTTATCGTAGGAAATAGTTTTTTTTTTTGTGTTTAGGTAGTTATGTTTAGTCAAAATGAAGGTCATTTTCAGTAAAACAATTTTTATTGAATCAACTTTTCTAGAATGCGTTCATTAATTTGGTATTATGAGCACAAAAGAGAACAACTGTTAAGACAACTTAGTTCTAAAGTTAGCATTTCATTGTATGATTTACCGTGGGAATTGTTTTTTCTTACATTCACTGCAAACCAGGTAGCTAAGCTAGAAATTAATTACAGTAAAGGAATAAATGCAAGACGTCGTCAAAATAAATATTTTTTTAGTAATGCAAAGAGTTGGGGGACGAAATCAAAACCAAGGGAAACTACTCACGTTTTCTTCAGGTGTAAGAACTCCGCCATCTTCCACAAGCCTAAAAGCCTCATGTAAGTTTTCAATGTTCACCTTAAACAAGGACCGATTTTTATTCATCCCTGAGTAGGTAACGTGCATAGTTTCTGTGAAAATATCAATAAAACATAATTTAGTGACCTAGCTTACGTTTTTGTAGAGATTTAATGTTAATTATAGAATTTCTACTTGTACTTGTGTTGATTATTTTGTTTTTGAACTTGAAAACTAAATTTGACCTTTAGGGTTATACAAAGTGGTTCGAATCTCAAACTCCACGACAGAACACTCTCGTCTCGCTAACAGCTGAACATGGGCTCGAGACGATGGCTCAACTTCAACCTGCAAAAATTAGCTCGGTCTTTGAATATTGAAATGTCTTTCAGAATTATCACTTTATGAACTACTATAGATAGCGCCTAGATTTTTTTCTGGAAAGCCTGAACACATACCCGCGTGTTGAGCTCCCAGGTGTGAGTCTTTTGGAACACTTCACCTTTGACCTTGTTAAGACTGACGGTATTGTCTATGCCCACTCGTACATCATCAGGGAAGCTTAACTTGGCACACACCTAAACATGTATATATATATAATTTTATATATATATATATATATATATATATATATATATATGCGTGTAATCAGAACCTGTTTCAATCACAGCTTCGGGTGTGTGTTAAAATTCTTGTATAAATACTGTATAAATAAAACTACTATTACTCCACCAAAAAAAAAAAAACAACACACGATAAAGACTGATGTGGGGTGATGTATGACAGAGATGATTTAGATACAGATACACTTTCCACTGCTAACACTACCTCTTGGTTTATTGTGTAGAACTGTTTCAGATCGACGTCCACTCGCGATGTCGTGTCACATGATTCTCTAAAAGTATAGCTTTGTTTACTTTTGGCTTGGTTGTCATAGTAACACGACAAGACCCTCGTCCATTGCGTACCTAGCGTATATAAGTTTATTTTTTTCTTTTATGGCACACTCTATATTGGGCCTACTGTATTAGTAGACTTTAACTGTAAGATTTAAAAGTCTAGTTTTGAACCCTATTCCCCCCACCTCAGCAAAAATATGTTTGTCGACGAGTACTTGTTTAATGAGATATATTGTCTTTATATTTTACCTTACTTGATTTTTTGACAAAGTACGGAACAATATGAAGAATGTTAAAATTTATAAAATTAAATTCACTTTAAATTAAAATGTTTGTCGGGTACTACGCCCCTTAATCGATTAGCTCCATTAGCTTCATTAGCTCTATTAGCTCCATTAGCTCCAGTAGCTCCACCCCTGCAACAAGGGAGCCCTAAATCAATCAGTCCCTCAACACCTTCTACACAATGACGGTCAGAACGCACTGAATATTTGCAATATATAAAACTTATGTCGACTCCCAATTTGTTGATACAAACAAACATGGTCTGTGGTTAGATTGGTCAGCACGTTACACAACAATCTGTATCGTTTCCTAAACACACGGCGACAACAGCGGGGCTTGATTGACTGTGCAGTATAGATAACTTTATTACGATTTTTTTAAAAATCGCAATTTTTCAATAGAACAAAGATGTTTAAAATAAACCGGGAGTGATCTCCCATAAACTTTCTCGAATCTATATATATAATTCTCTTCTGGGATCAGTTAGAAAACAAGCTGCAAGCGCGCCTTTGCAGTCCCCTCTCTTCCTCTATATCAATATCACAACCACCCCCACCCCACCCCCACATTGTCTGGTGAGTTGTGTTCACTCTGTTTACATTTTACAATCACAGAGACGGGTTTGGTGACGGCTATTAGGGGCAGATAATTTAGTTTGAAACGATTTTAAACTTAGAGGAGGTAACTAAAAGGAGGCTGCTTTCACGTGGGGGTGGGGGGGGGGGGGGGGGTAGTGTTTTTAAGCAAATATTTTCAATGGCAGCATTGGTACTGTCGAATTCACAATTTATAAATTACTGAAAAGTAGAAAAAAAAACAACTAAATAGCGGCGTATGATACGCAGCGGGTCGGCTCGTATTCTTATATAGAACAGGTAATGGCAACTCGGAATATAGACATAATTTCTAATCCATTTTTAAATTCTTAGACTTTTAAAAATAGAAAAAAAACTCACTGAAAAGAGGATTTCACACCAAGCGAACGCAAAACTAAAGGTGTATAATAGAGCGGAATATTATTAGTACTTTATAAATTCACATGCGTTTTTTGAGAAATCGGAAATAGCGTAAATTACTATTTCCGCTCAACGGAAATTCTGAAATAGTACTCAAGTAATAGGCTTTTGAAAAATTGAAATTAGAAAAAGTTCTACTTCCGGTTATCGGAAATCTGTCGAAAGTTGATACGGATCCACGATTTTAATATAATACTTATATATGAAATTTCATCAACCTAGCTATAACGGTACTCAAGTTATTGTGTTTACAAATACACAGAGACACACACAGACACACACACATACACACACAGAAATACGGAAAATATTGCAAAACTATGTTTTTCCGACTCAGGAAGGTGTAAAACGTAGAGATTTACAAAAATCACCTGTTTGTACGTCTCCACGAGGGGTTGTTATTACGGTTCCGTCCTTCACCTTGGGAGAAAACTTCGTAACCTTGTGCTCGATGGTCAGCGCCGTCCAGTCCACCTGACAGGTGTAGACACCATCAGATGCCTGCAGCTCTAGCACATCCACTTCGTTAGATTCCCTGAATTAAACTTGTTGTTATAGCTGTCAGTAAGTAAAATTTGCGCCATGCCAAATTTGGCTTTGATATTAGGGAGACGATAGAATCGACTATAGAAATGAATGTATTTAATATTCTATTTAGCTTAGGTAAACAATAGACTCCCCTAGACAAAGAAATAAATGCATTTAAGGCTCTATATTGCAATCGGAGAAAGTTAAATCTCTGATAAAACAACTAGATAGCGGCATATTTATCATACAACTGTAGATGTATAGTTAGTTTCATACAACGGGTAAAATGAAAGTAGACATATGCACATAAAAATGAAGCTAGATTCTAGAATTAATTACTAAGATATTGCTTTCATTTTTTGTTTGAAGAATATCTACGAGTGAAACTTTTGACATATCAATGGTAACCTTTTCTTTACTATAGAATACTCTCAAAATTCAGCAATAGAAAGAAAGGCTGTGTTTAAAGAGGACAGTAGACCAGTCAATAAAGTCCTAAAAAACAACAGCGAAGAAAAGGCAAAGGATGACAGGCGCAGATATAGAGAGCCGCCCAAAACCGAGTACGGTGGACAGGTGTGGCAGATATAGAGAGCCGCCCAAAACGGAGTACGGTGGACAGGTGTGGCAGATATAGAGAGCCGCCCAAAACAGAGTACGATGGACAGGTGTGGCAGATATAGAGAGCCGCCCAAAACCGAGTACGGTGGACAGGTGTGGCAGATATAGAGAGCCGCCCAAAACGGAGTACGGTGGACAGGTGTGGCAGATATAGAGGGCCGCCCAAAACCGAGTACGGTGGACAGGTGTGGCAGATACAGAGAGCCGGCCAAAACCGAGTACGGTGGACAGGTGTGGCAGCAAGCTTTTACTCCTCAGGGGTCACAGCGGAATAAGTCAAGTGAGTCAAGTCGGAGTTCAGTGTACTCACTTTAGAAGTTTCTGCCAGGCGTAACGCTGAATGACGTCATCGAGTTGAACCATAGATTTATTCCTTAACTTCTTTTCTGTGAACACGAAGCAGTAGATGGGTTACCATTTTGTTATACTGTTCTAATTGAAGTACAATGTGATATAACTTTATATAACATTTTATTGCTCCAAACACAATATTTGCTAAATTTAAGATTGTTTGTTTAGTAAATGGATTAAACAATTTTTTTAAACTTCTTCTTTCTTCTTCTTCGTTCTTAATTTTTAGTGTTGGGAGGGATCGAGCCTTATCTGGCTGAGGGTTTGAACTCAAGACATTTTTTCGAATTTATCAACCATGAGCTTTGCCGTCTCGACCATGCTTCCATCACAATTAAGGATACGTGTCAACTGGTTATGCGCCACTGAGGCCATTAACTCCGATTTCAGCCTGCTTTTCTTTTTGGATTTGCTTCCATAGCCTTTGTCTAACCAAGAACAAACTACAAGGCAGCAGTTGTTTTATTTTTATCTGCCTGAGGTTCGAACTCGAGTCTTTTCGGTTTAGCAACCATGAGCTTTACCGACTCGACCACGCCGACCCCTAAATTTTTTAATAAATCGTCAGTTTTACAGCATGTATCTAATGTCGATGTAACATGCAAAAAACATATTTATTTTAAGAACGAAAATATTTATAGTACATTTATTTTGACGTCATTATTTCCAGAAATAATTCCTTAGAAATATGCAACTTTAATTGTATAAGCACCAAATACGTTTCCAACTCAGCATTTTTCAATTATTATTTAAACAAGGTTCGTGGCGATTGATCTGAGAAGGGCTTTGAGAACCCGACCCTTTTAGTATCTCTGATATAGAAACATGTAAACATCATATATCTGCCATATGTAAACATCAAATATCTGCCATATGTAAACATCAAATATCTCCCATATGTAAACATCAAATATCTGCCATATGTAAACATCAAGTATCTGCCATATGTAAACATCAAATATCTGCTATATGAAAACATCAAACATCCGCCATATGTAAACATCATATATCTGTCCTATGTAATCATATATCTGCCATATGTAAACATTAAATATTTGCCATATGTAAACATCAAATATCTGCCATATGTAAACATCATATATCTGCCATATGTAAACATCAAATATCTGCCATATGTAAACATCATATATCTGCCATATGTAAACATCATATATAAGCCTTGTCAAGACTACCAACGACACATTCAGCCTCACTTCCCAACCCTGCTCGATTTAAAATACATGTTTTTGCTTTAAAATATCGTTCGGAGAGAGAGGATATGTAGATTTTTGATAGTGCTCCTCAGCATGGTGTGTTCGTGTGTGTAGTGGAGGGGGGGGTCTTAATACATGCAATGCATCATTTTTTTGTAAAAATGAAGCATCTTTAAAAAAAATGACTATTGCCCTTACCCAGGCCTAGTATCAAGTCATAATCACGACATCCTGCGGGGTTCCCACATTTCAAGCGTTCGCCAGTGTACTGTCTGTGTGCCGAGCAGTCCATGCTAGTGAAGATTCTAGAGGTTCAAAGGTTTTTGAGATCATTAAATAAATAAATACACCAGCAGGGCAAGGAAATAAAACATGGACGGATGAAACCTGTTTAGTGGCTTGAAACAAAATTCGACCCTCCTATTTTAATAAAAGTGTACTCAAACCAGATAAGTGAAATCAAACTAGACTGGTGTAATAGAACAAAACAAGTGTAATCAAACAAGAATGGTGTAACAGAACAAGTGTAATCAAACAAGACTGTTGTAATAGAACAATACAAGTGTAATCAAACAAGACTGTTGTAATAGAACAATACAAGTGTAATCAAACAAGACTGTTGTAATAGAACAATACAAGTGTAATCAAACAAGACTGGTGTAATAGAACAATACAAGTGTAATCAAACAAGACTGGTGTACTAGAACAATACAAGTGTAATCAAACAAGACTGGTGTAATAGAACAATACAAGTGTAATCAAACAAGACTGGCGTAATAGAACAAGTGTAATCAAACAAGACTGTTGTAATAGAACAATACAAGTGTAATCAAACAAGACTGGTGTAATAGAACAATACAAGTGTAATCAAACAAGACTGGTGTACTAGAACAATACAAGTGTAATCAAACAAGACTGGTGTAATAGAACAATACAAGTGTAATCGAACAAGGCTGAAGTAATAAAATACATGTGTAATCAAACAATTTATATGTAATCAAATATTACAAGTGTAATCAAAATATATAGATGTAATCAAGCAATACAGGCGTTAATAAAACGCAGGTGTAATCAAACAATACAGGTATAATAAATAAAGGTGTAATGCATTTTTTCCTCGATGAACAAAGGCTTTGAAAGCAAATCCAGAAATAACAGACAATCTTAAATTTAGCAAATATTGTGTTTAAAGCAATAAATAACAGAAAGAACAGACTAACTAAAAATTACCTGCGTTTTTTTCAGACATTTCTTCGTTGTTTCTCCCCGAACAACGTCTACCTCCCCTCCCGAACGGAATAAAATTTATATAGAAAATAAATACTTTTACCAGTTCCCCTTTCCCCCCCCCCCGATTAAAAAGTCTGAAGGAAACACTGCAAATGACAAATTGAACATGAGACCAATGGACCAGCTAACTGATCTTTACCTGTGGAAATAGGTTTCTTGTTTCAGACACCATTTGACGAACTCACCAAGCACGCGTTCGTTTATCCAAACAATTATATTAGCACAACATGCACTGTAAATTAATCTAAGCAAAAAAGATTCCCCTTCATAAAGTATCTGAAACAAAAAAAGGGTTACATATTTTACCAAATTCCGACATTTTCGCTAAATGAATTTGCGTAAAATTCATCTCAACAGTGCTTGATTCAGTCATTTTCACTCAACAGTAGCTTATATTTTCTCTCAACAGTAAATTATATTTCCGCCATAAATCAGCCATAATTTAGCCACTCATGCACCAAATTTTATTAATAACATAAACAATATTATTAAATTTCTAATTGTAGTGATTTTTTAAAATCGCCATCAATTTATTTTGCATACATACTTAAAGTGTAATTTAGTTTTCATTTATATAAATTCTTAAATCAACTTATTTAAACAAAAGTTATAATAATTCCAGTAAAAATCCGTATCAATGCTTTTGTTAATAGAAACGAGCTTGATTTATTACTTTTAAAGCTTTCATCGCATTTAAAATCTTGTTTTATTTCCACAACGTCCAGCCATGTTTTCTCGTTGCATCCTCTGCCTCGACTGCCCCGAAGTTTCCAGTCCTTTCTGACTATGTCGTTAGTACCAATTCTAAACGTGTGCCCAATCAATCGGCATTTTTTCTTTCGAGGATTTGCATTTCTCATGCTTTCTGTCCATACATCCAATGTTTTGTGCTTTCTATTTTGTTATATTCGACTGTTTTAAATACGTTTCTAGGGCATATGTTGAAGACAGCCTGGATACAATTTGTTATTGTTTCTGTTGTCCTCAATGTTTCAGATCCGTAATTTAGAACTGCATTAACATTGGAGTTGAAGATTATTATTTTAATTTTGATACAGTTTTCGAGGCTGCACGAAGATGGACATTGTGCTTATCGGGCTAAGTTTATTTGCTGTTTTATGTCTACGTTTGTTCCTCCAGTACATATAAATCTATAAATAGTTCTCTACGTTTTCATTCCCACCTTGTTTGTGGTTAATTTTCATAGGCCCTATATGAGTTTTTTTCATTACATTTTTTACTGCGTGTGAAAACTGCCAACCCAACATATTAAAAATAAATGAAAGTTAATATTTGACTCACCCCAAAGGTTCCTAATAATCTTAAGGAAATGTAGACCTCCAATAACATTAACACTACGTAGATTACATCACTGACAATTGACCGGACAAGTGCACACAGTGGAATCACCAGGGCTAAATAGATCTTGCCGCAAAGCCTCTGTCCGCATGACGTCTCTTTTGGTTGACCGGGTAGCCTGGGCACTTCATGGTCTATCAGAGGTGTGGTAGTGTTAGTGGGGATTATAGGCGTGGTAGTGTTTGTGAGGATTAAAGGAGTGGTAGTGTTAGTGAGGATTAAAGTAGTGGTAGCGTTTGTGAGGATTAAAGGTGTGGTAGTGTTAGTGAGGATTAAAGGATTGGTAGTGTTTGAGAGGATTAAAGGAGTGGTAGTGTTAGTGAGGATTAAAGGAGTGTTAGTGTTAAAGGATTAAAATAGTGGTAGTGTCTGTGAGGATTAAAATAGTGGTTGTGTTTGTGAGGATTAAAGGAGTGTTAGTGTTAAAGGATTAAAATAGTGGTAGTGTCTGTGAGGATTAAAATAGTGGTTGTGTTTGTGAGGATTAAAGGAGTGGTAGTGTTAGTGAGGATTAAATGAGTGGTAGTATTTGTGAAGATTAAAAAAGTGGTAGTGTTATTTAGGATTAAAGGAGTGGTAGTGTTAGTGTTAGTGAAGGGTAAAGGAGTGGTAGTGTTAGTGAAGGGTAAAGGAGTGATAGTGTGAGTGAAAGGTTAAGGAGTGTTTGTGTTAGTGAAGGGTAAATGTGTGGTAGTGTTAGTGAAGGTTTAAGGAGTGGTGGTGTTAGTGAAGCGTAAAGGAGTGTTAGTGTTAGTGAAGGGTAAAGGAGTGTTAGTGTAAGTGAAGGGTAAAGATGTGGTAGTATTAGTGAAGAGTAAAGGTGTGGTAGTGTAAGTGAAGGGTAAAGGTGTGGTAGTGTAAGTGAAGGGTAAAGGAGTGGTAGTTTAAGTTAAGGGTAAAGTTGTTATAGTGTTAGTGAAAGGTAAAGGGGTGGTAGTGTAAGTGAAGGGTAAAAGATTGGTAGTCTTAGTGAAGGGTAAAGGTGTGGTAGTTAGTGAAGGGTAAAGATGTGGTAGTTAGTGAAGGGTAAAGGTGTGGTAGTTAGTGAAGGGTAAAGGTGTGGTATTGTTAGTGAAGGGTAAAGGTGTGGTAGCGTTAGTGTTAGTGAAGGGTTACTGTCGACACTCTACCCACGCATAGTGACAAAGCCGTGACATTTGCTTTTGATAACTATTTAGAAGTTAAATAATGGGACGTCGTGGTTGGAGGATCGAGCGGACTACTACTAAACCTGATGTCTTGGGTATGTAGATCGGGCTCGAGACTGTAGGATTTCCCTAAGTAAACCCCGCTCTTATTGTGAGGATTGGTACCTGTCTCGCGTTAGGGAAGGAAACATTGGTAGGCATTTTGTTGTACACGCTATCACTTAATAGGCCTATGTAGACATTTTGTTGTACACGCTATCACTTAATTGGCCTATGTACGGAAACTGCCTGCCGGATCAACAACCAGGTTCGAGTTAAATGAGTCTTTAAATTAATCTATGAGTTACTACTATATTGAAGTACATGAAGGGAGATAACAAATTTGCATTAATCAATTGAACGGTGTAGCTCGTGTAGTTCTCGAACAATGTTTATGAAATATAATTGTTGATAAGAGACATATGCTTACATCTAAATATAGCAAAATAATTGAGCAGTTGTAGGTATGTCAGCAATAAAAAAAAAACAACAACATATCATTAAATATTGTCGCCATAAAGATCTGGATCAAGTTACAAAAATAAAAATAAACACATTCTATTCAGCCTTCATACTAATTGCTTCTCCAGAATTTACATTCCTGTGAAATTATTATATTTTTATGTTTGATATGAAAGTCTCTTATATTATTCTACATTTGATACATGATGAATTTAATATTATTTTATTTTCCTAAAATCCCTAATTTATTTCTGCTCTACCGATAATTATAAGCCCTTACCCCCCTCCCCACCTAAAAAATAAATTTACCTTCTATTTACTTCTGATTTTTTTTATCCCCCCCTAGACCACCCCCCCCCCCCCCCCCACCAAAAAAAAAGTAACAAACAACAACAACAACAACAAAACAACATAGAATTCACTACTTCATTAAATATTCAAATTTTAGGTTAAAAAAAAATTAAAATGAGACGATTTTTATTATGTGTAAGAAACAATTTTTAATAAATGAAAGTGGTCCTATATGTCAGAAAGAAGTACTACTATTGTAAATCTGTATGCCCTCGTAAGCCTATGAAGAAAACTGTATTACTAAAGCGAATATGGCCAGGCAAACTGACTTTAATCCTTATTATTTGGAATAAACATGAGACTTCAAGTTAACCTCAATACTTTATTCCACCTACATCACAACCTCCATCACTTGTCTTGTCTCAAGCTTTCATCTTAGTCAACTCACATAACACAACACAGCTATCCGACACAGAGACCACACATTCAAGGGACACCACCTCGACAAATACAATACAAGGGACGTAACAATAACTACCAAGACATAACGTAACGATTCCAGTACCGAAAAACACTTAAATTATAGCTAAAGCACCCAACGGTTACAGGCCATAAATAAAAGAAGTGCAGGAAGGGTTTAATCTAGCACAAAAGTAACTGTGGTCCTGAAATTTGTTATTTTAACTTGCAAAGATGATACGTAAAGTTGCAGTGCGGTTAGACTAAGTTCACTATAGTTTCACATTTTATTAGATTTTTAGATCTATTAAGACCAAAATTCTGAAAATGTACATTTTATACACATTTTAGAGTCTTAATTTTAATATTTTTAAAGTTTAATATTACTCAGAAGAAATATATCTAGAATCTAGATCTAGATCTATATCTAGATCTAGTCAATAATCAAGATGATCTAGGTCTATTTGGACTACAAAACCTGCTTTTTATTTATGTCACACACAAAGCATCAATAAAAAACCTAACTCTTACTTGTCTTTTCATCTGTTTCCATTGTTTGATAAAGGAATATGCCGACGTTTAGCATGTAGGCCCCATCTACAAGAGATAGTTGTTAGTTATGCTATGCGCCGATCTCTAAGGAATAAAATCATTGACGCGCTATTCAGTGCACACGGTGTTGCACTTTACTGACGGGAATTCCAGAACTAAACTGTCACGATGGTGTGTTTTAATGTCGTGTGTACGTGTGAGTGAAACAAGTGAGATTTTAGACTTGCCCTGCTGATGTGAAGGTGCTCTACTTTTATTACAAGCTTTTATTTAACTCACTTCCTCGTCAGTCGACAGTCGACAGTCTGTCTGTCTAGACGGAAACGCAGGAGTGAAAATTCGGACAGTTCTACTTGACCGACACGATTCACAGTTGGCACATGGGTCAAGACATGAAGACAATGCAATCTGAAACTAAATTTGACTTAATTGGATGCCTAATTGATTTTTTATGAATTAATTAAAATTTGGACCGAATTAGTAGGCATGTCTAGCCAACCACACCACACGCGTCATCAATAGCTGCGCCATCACGACCACGTAATGGCTGCGTTCAAAAACCATTGCGCGCCTACTGAACGTGATATTCAGAAGGCGCGCAATGGTTTTTAGTCATGTAACTCTATTGTAGATAAAACATGTAAAGTACTGAAAAAAAAATTCATAAAAAACGTTTTAATAACAAGCTTTTATGTAATGATGCACTAAAAAGTAGAAAATAAATTATAGACTACTATTTAAATAACTATAAAGAAAAGCGTGGGTGTCTTCCTTAACATTAGTAAAGGTATCCAATAGATACTAAAGTGACCCACGCTTTTCTTTATAGTTATTTAAATAGTAGTCTATAATTTATTTTCTACTTTTTAGTGCATCATTACATAAAAGCTTGTTATTAAAACGTTTTTTATGAATTTTTTTTTAAGCTTTTACTTACAATGTATGTTTGTTTGTTTGCTTGTAACTCACTTTTAACTCACTTCTAATGCAGCGAATTCGTTTGAACTTTCTTTATATATTTTTATTATAATTAGAAAATAAATAGTTCGTGAAAATTTAATTAACAAATTACTATATTCAATAATATAAAACAAATATAAAAACCGTTAAAATTATAAGTTTCAAAATACACTGAAAATAAAAATAAAATAAAACAAATTTGCTTTTATTAGTAAAAGCATTGGTCGCTAAAATATGTAAGGTATTTCATGAGCGACCAAAGCTTTTATTGAAGATAACAAGTTTACATATTTCAGTGAGATGCGAATATATTCTATCTATAAAAGAATCTATAGAAAAGTTAACAGTAGAACAATTTGGTTGATATATTATCTATACCCAATTAAACATTATAGTAGTTTAAATAAACAAAAAACTTATGCCATACGAGAAGTTTGTCAAATATAATCTACATCTAATTCAGGAGCCCCGGGTGATGAGCTGGGGGTAGGTGGCCGAGTGCTCATCACCGTCTTGGTCCAGCCATTTCTCGACCGTCATACGTACACAAGCCTGAAGGAGGGGAAATGAGAAAACAAATGGGTTCTGTTTATAACAGTTGGGTGGTTGCTGTAGGTGTGTCTCTGTGTTTATTTAGGATATCCTCTAATGTTTGAGATGTGCGTTAAAGTGGAGCCATCTAGTCAGCTGACTTGTCTAGTCTATGTGTGAGGTTGCTTGAACATGGGCCAATGAACTCGAACCGGAAAGAGGGGGGGGGGGAGGTCAAGTAAAGACAGTAAAGTAAAGTCAGTAAAGTAAAGTCAGTGGTGAGGTCTGGTGTCACCCGGTGCGGCACTTAATAGTGTCTGTATATACATACATACATACATATATATATATATATATATATATATATATATATATATATATATATATATATATATATATATATATATATATATATATCGCTGCTTGGATTTTCATTTAGCTATCATCCAATAATCTAGAAGACGTTGGTCATATTTATTTTATTGACCTATTGCCGCCTGTTGAATATAAGATGAGTATCTAAACGAGATTTGTGAGAGTTGTATATATATATATATATATATATATATATATATATATATATATATATATATATATATATATGTATATATATATATATATATATATAAATGATGTGCTCATTTCTACACCAACGTAAATATTTTATTTAAATTCTGATTGTATCAAACTTTTGGTTCATTCTACCGAATTCTGTGTTTAATTTCATATTTTGTACATTAAAGTAAAATGCCAAGTTGAATACTCACCACTTAAAGATTATGGTTTATTTTTAAGAACAACATTCTGAGACCGTCGAGTTTCTGCTGCCTGTACACAAACCTGAGAGTTTTTGTTTCTATTTCATCCTCCAAGTCTGGACATTAGGAGGGGTAGTTGGGATACAGTATCTAAAGATACACATATTTTATACTATCCCCCAGATTCACTTTCTACACGTATAATTTAGCCCTTGTTCTGTATCTTACTTCTTTATTGGGTTTCACGCTAAGTAAATACATTTTTAACTAATTAGTATTTTTATGCTGAGTACTTATTGAAAGTAGTTTATTTTAATCGACTTGAATTTTCAAGTCTCTAGATATTTAAATTTAAAGAGTCTGTTTCACAAAAATTATAAAATATTTGCTGTAAATGAAGTGAAAATGTTTTAAGAAATATAGAGTTTACCTATATTAAACATAATGTATTAAAATAATCGTAAAATAACTTAATTTGTTTTTATTTTCATATATAATAAATATTGTAATTATATTACAATTCAGAGTAAGTTTTTTTATAATAATACATTATTTTGAGCAAAATATGTATTTAATTTCAAATATTGATAATGATATGCTTATTACATGGATTAACTCCTTATAAGTTAAGTACAAGTAGGCCTACATTCGCACGACATTAAAATTTTGCGTGTGATGGTGTGAAATATACTTGCTAAAATATAGAGTAGTAACAAAATATTCACTTGGGATTACACGTGAGCACTATGTCGGAAATTGTCGTGCAATAGTGACACGGTAGGATACTACTTTCTATAACTTAACCAAATCAGGCGGGTCAGTTGGTACCCCGACGGTTATGTGATACGGAGCGTACCGGGTTCTTGAACCCGGGTTTTCAAACTCAAGACTTTAAAAGATTTACTACCTGACTACGACATTCCGTTAGAAGTTCAATCCGAGATGTTAGAAGCAACGTTTAACCATGAGAGGAGGGATGGTGAATAACAAAAACTATTATAGCAGTTCTATTAAAAGCTACGTTTAACCGGTAAGGAAATGAAAAGCTTTTGAACAATGACATGTTTCTCATCCACTGACACAACTTCTATAACGCATGGAAATAGTTAATTAAAGCATGACACTAGGCCTATTAAGCATGACGCACGGCCTTTAAAGCATGACACAAGAACTATGAATCATGACACAAGGATTATGAATCATGACACAATGATTATGAATCATGACACAAGGATTATGAATCATGACACAAGGACTATGAATTATGACACAAGGATTATGAATCATGACACAAGGACTATAAAGCAAGACACAAGGCCTATGAAGCATGACTCAAGGACTATGATTCATGACATAAGGACTATGATTCATGACACAAGGACTATGAATCATGACACAAGCCCTATAAAGCATGACCCAAGGCTTTTAAAGCATTACACAAGACCAGTGAAGCACAACGCAAAGCCTGTTGGGAGTCTACTATTGATGTGTCCGAACTGTTCTTTACCTTGATCATGTATAGAGTACTTATCGTAATGCTAACATTACGACTAATTATGTTCGTTGATTGGATTCCAAAAGCGGTTTTAGCAGAAAATACAGAGTCATATTACTACTACTGTGTATTTCTTAAAGTTGAGCCTCTTGATATATTTTTCAAAGATCTATGCACAACATTGACTTTAAAGATTATTTAAAATGTACTTTAAGTAGTAAAATAAGGTCATTTTAAGAATTGATAATCAGTTTTTTCCTGTACTGGCATCATGTACTTCTTTCTTTCTATCTTCTTTTCTCAGTCTATTGCCAACTAAAACTATTTCTAAAATTGACATTCCTTAATGTTTTCACATATTTCTGTATAACAATTTATTTCGAATTTAATTGGAAAGTCTGTTGTTAATTCATTTTAAATTCAATAACAATATTTTACCGAAATGCACTTTTTATTAAGGTAATTTTATGCAACAAACGGGTGGTGTTCAAAAGTCGATAAATATATCTTTTATAATAATGGTAACATCCATCATTTATTATAAGCAGAATAAAAAGAATATTATAACATAAAACATAAAATCAATGGATTATCATTTGATTTTCAACATTAATAACAAGAAATCTTCTATTATGATAATTTCTGGGATTATACAACACAAAATCAAAGCAATATATATATTCCTGCAACAATAAAAAAATTGCGTGTGATGCCGAAATATTTTTTAGCTGAAATATAAATAAATAATAAAATATGTGGATACATAATTGCGTTCTTACTTGATGAGATCCAACCACACCTATATCGCCACACCCTATGTGCCTTAGTGTATTAATTATTAATTATTTGGTGCAGGTAAGACTGCAAGCTTACTTAAAATAAAAAAAAACAATAAAACAGAAAATTATTCTAATTTTCGGAGGGGGGGGGCGGTAGACATTTTTCGGGGGGGGGGGGGTGGATCGGTAAAATGTTGAATTTTTTCAGATTGCTGTTTATGTGTCGTAAGGTCTATTTCATGGTGGTCGGCGTGTTATTTTAATGTATTGAATTCACATTAATTAAATTATGTCTCTCTTAGAGCCCTTCCAGAAAAACATAAAGATTACAATTCATTTTGCTTTAATTGCTTTAAGGGAATATGCAAGTGTAGCACTATAGTTTAACAAATCATTAAATCTCTATTCCCAAGATGGTACATTTAAAAAAGATTTACCGTGGCGGAGCACGGGATGCAGCTAGTATACATACACACACACATATATGTTTTTAAAAAATACGGAGTGGAAACTAATATTTCGTTTAGTAATTGGCAAACTTTACCTTAAGGGGAGGTCATCATATTTTTAAACAAAAATATACATGACCACTTTAAACTAATAAAATATAATCTACATCAGTGATTAAAATTATTCGAATTTGAGATTAAAGAAATCTTGAAAATAAATGTTATAACTCGCTAATAAGAGTTTTTTTCTGTTTATTTTTTTTTTATCATTTTGATAGAAGAGGGTTTTTCTTTAGCTGCTCTCACAGCTGACGAACTAAAAAGAGAGCTATGTATGCTATGTAGCCTATCACTAGCTGAATTTGAAGTTCTGTATAACTACGGGACACTGCGTAAATGGTATGTCACCATTGGATTAAACGAACTATATGAGAAAATGCACCTAAAAGAATTTCACAGAGATTAGCCACCTGGGGTAACAACCAGATACAGAGTGTAGAGAATATCAATAACCCACGCCGATAATTCTGGGCAAAGGGGCATGCTGAAATGGCTGCCTTCCAAGACAAGCGACGATGATATAATGGCGATTCTGAAAACTATAAGCAGATAGGACTCAACACCAACATTTAAGAGAATAGACCAATCAAATGTGGTCCAATTCACCATCTCTCTGGAGAAAGAAGATGTGGAGAGTGTCCCACACTTTATTATACTTACAAGCTTATTTGCATTTATGTAAAACCATGATATAGCAGACATGTCCTTAGATGTTAAGCTTTCATCGTTGTTTGCTTTTCAAGTTGACGAAATATCCTTGTGAAATATATTCATTCAGGCGATAGCAAAGAAGAGTTGCTATTTTGTGAAGATATCATGGAGAAAATTTTTTTTTTTTTTAAACTGGATGATTAACATGGGAAAAAGGCTGTGGGCTTTGTACGGATGGTGCGCCATCTATGTTTGGGTCAAAATCGGACATTCAGAAAAACTAAAAGATTTAGCTCTCTAACCAAGTGGATTCCATTGCATGATTCTCCGGTACGCCATCGCCAGCAAGACTCTCCCGACTCAATTGCTAAGTCCTAAATTATATTGATTCTGTATCCCTAAACACCCGTGTCTTTAAAGAAGGGTTCAAAGACATGAATAAAGATCACGAGGTTCTACTTTTCTTCACTGCAGGCTAAAAAGTACCTGCAGTATGATTGTGCTGCTGTGGATTCCTGGCCTTTTTCGAAATGTAGATGTATATTATTAAGTTACCATTGGGCATTATTTATTATCATGCAATTGTTACTATAGGCTACAGAGTATAAAGCAAGTATTACAATAGTGCTCAAAAATTAATTTTTTTTTCAACATTTTTTATCGTTTTACACTTCTCTACTTTTTCGTGTATGGAATATAAGCAATAAATTGTAATCGTACGATAAATATAAACAGTGAATTTGACAAAGTTTGACGATTTGCATCCTTACCAAACGAAAAACCTTGGTTTTGCAATTTTTCCGTGTCCTTCTATAAGAACCATAACTTGAGTACTTCATCAGATAGGTTAGCAAAAGTTCATGTGTAGGAATTGCATCAAATGTGTAGTTCTGTATAACGTTTTCAGTGATATCTAGTGAGCGGAACTTGTACTTATTCTACTTTATGATTCTCAAAATCCAATAGCAAGTGCGCTGTTTTAGTGGACGGAATTTCCTATTTCAAGTACTACATTATACCATGTTTCTTATGACATTTGATTTATTTCTTATACACGTAAGTGGTGCTTTACTTTATGTCATTGGGAATAATTTATCTTGACTACTTTTTCATTTATGTAGACGACATTTCATATTTACGATTAAGATGTTATACTTATACTTGAATTACTCACAATGTTTAAGATAATTTAACATTTAACAATTTCTAAAATACCGATAACGTACATACCGTTGCATTTATGCAAACGAAATTTTACACATACATGATACTCCACATTGATGGTCCAATCTAATGCTAGTGACACACCGCAGGGATGGCACAATTTAAGAATTTGTTGGTTTAAATCGGCATGTGGACGTCCACATTGACCCGAACCCCCCCCCCCCCCCAACAACAGCCGATTTTTTCCGAACATTCTAACCCCAGCCCTCTCACGTGGACGTCATAAATGACCCCTGAATAATACATGTAAATAATCAAATATTATTAATCAGGGAAACAACTAAGTAAATACTTGTCATTCAATCTTTATTTCATTGTTACTTCCCTTAGATCACACAGTAGTTTATTCCCATTTAGAGATAGCATTATTTATAGCTTAGCTTTGTGAAAGTATGTTTATTTCATACATAAGTTTTAACGCTTTAATCAAATTATTTAACAGAGAGTAAACTAATGAAACCGATATTGTCATTAATTCATCGTCATACTATACTGAAAATGTATCGATATTCGAATATAAGTAGAATTGGTGTAACAGTTGTGTAAAACATTGTGTTACATATTATATTTAAATTGAACAGCAACTTTAAAGTAATGCTAACTTACATATCATGGGGTCAATTCGACAAAGAAAGTAGAGTTCATGTGTTGGTGTTATACCCATGACTTAGAACTTCATTGAGTCCACACGGAAAACCCAGCCGAATTATGTTTCTCCAAACATGTTCAGGTACACATCAGATCTGTGAAGCAAGAAAGGTAATCGAACATGGGAATTGAACTCGTTTCCCTGGGGACAAAATGCACGTACTCTTTTACTCGACCATGTCGTCCCATTTCTGCAGTTGCTTATTAACGCTCTGCTTTACAGTTTTCATTTTTGAAAACTTTGATTCAATGTTTTAAAGTCACACTAGATGTTCTAATACTACCGATCTATCCACTATTATTAAAGTTGTTTTATAATATCACTGTCAAGTATTGCTCAAGGATTTCTAGTCACAAATGTCTCTCAATGACGGCATCAAAATTTACTTTTTCATTTCTATTGGTGCATGTCTACAAGCAACTAAGTGTATAAATATAGTATGCAATGTGTCAAATATTTTTTTAATTATTAGAATTTCACATTTTTCTAATTATCTCTTTCAAATTAATTAGTCTTACAGGTGTATTGGGCATAAACAAATGGACTTTGTTGTAAAGTTTAAACTTACAACCCATGACAACCTGGCACGAACATCGACATCACAACATGCGCTGTTTGACAACAACTTAAACATCAACAGACAACAAAGATTAAAATAACAACAGTAGAAAGATATTTTCTTTTAGCATTTAATGTCGTTTAGTGTGAACATTTTGTAAAACAAGCAGTACGAATATGACATTTATAAAGGTAGGTTTCATTTAATTTACAGGTAATATCCAGCCTATAGTTATATGACAACAATTTGCCGACAAAAGTTGTACACAAACTATGTTAAACATTTGAAACAAAAAAATCTAAAACCTATCTATGTACATGCAAATTATAACGGTTAAACGGTTTACATCAATCAAAACATTTGTTTTAATCATTTAAATGTAATAAAATGTTGATAAGACATGCAGGTCTTAACACAAACATTTTAATGACGGGAAAGTTTCCACCATTTTGTTTGTTTACATTGTGTAGACAAGGGGAGAGAACTAACAGTTACATCACTCCCACCTCTCCCCACTATAATTTCCTTCAGAATTTGATCCACTGTGGGGATGGGGATACAACAACCCGCCATATCGCAGCCTGTAGACAAACGCTCCACTTGAGCCTGGGCATGTACATGTTGTGTACCAGTACCTGGTGTCGCCATCCCTTTCACGTTTGTGTGTCCATTTTCCTACAGAGACCTGTTTAGGACAGCCATGAGGATGTGACACTATAACGGTCAACTTGTCCACACCAACAAATCTCCAGTATTTGTCCTTTACTTCCTCACATAGATCATTAAAGCGCCGACACAACTTGTCCAGTTCATCAACCAACTCTAAGTCACATGTCACATATCTCAACATACACCAGTCTTTCTTAATGTCTGCCCCACCCAACACTTCCCAGCCATCAAGACTGACCACTGGACTTTTATTGTCATCAAAACCTAAAACACACCTGGTCTGTCTTGCCTCACTGGCATCAAACACCACGTGTTTAGCTGTCACCACACGAACCATCCCCCACACTTTGCTGGGTGTGGCAGAGACTTGACACTTGGCACAACGACAAGTTCCGTCACCGTCACTCTCTGTGTACTTGTACACACCACACACCCTCCCCGTTCCTAACCTCATCACGTGACTTCCTCTGTCCTTATAACATGGATATGGAACTCGAGTGTCTGGATAAACTCTGGTCTCTCTAGACTGGTGAATTCAGACTTTACCTGGACAGTTAGGGCCGCCAATGTTTTGATTGTCTCAAACATGAGGTCGTTGTGGTAACGTGAGGGGAGATAATTTATGTTGAAATCATTAAGAGGTATAAAACCTTTGTGACCTGGATTCTTCTTACAGCCGGTAACATGTCTGTGTAGATCAGCTTCCCCTCCATAGCACATCTCAGCTTCATGATTTCCTACAGAAACAAACAACACATTATTTCTCTAGCAACAGAAATGTTAGATTTAAAGACAAAATGCATTGTAATGGAACAAGTTTACTACAGTCATTTGGATATTAAACTAGCACATATATTAAATTGTTTACATTATATTTCCCTTTTGCTACAGTATGTCTTACCAGGATGGAATACACCTGATTTGTCAGTCATTATTTGCTTATTCTGTATTTCACAGCTTGCCACAACTGAAATAATGTAGACATTAAATGTCTATCTTGCAGTAAAACATAATGACACAAATGCCAATTAAATAATAGAAAATCATTTAAGTTTTACAGACATATTTCCAAATTTCGATTTCTCACTACGTCTTTAATATGTTATTAATGTAGCTTTTTAAACGGCAAATGTGAAAAAAGACCTCTGTACCTACTGTTAATGTTTTTTAATAAAGCTATGATTACTTATTATTACATTTATTTTAAAAGTAGACAAATGTTTTAAACTGTACAGCTTGTTAAGCACTAACATAGATGATTTCAGAATTGTAAAATAAAATATCTGACCATTTTAAAGTGAATTTCAATCAACATTTTCCTTACTTGAACGTGGCTCCTGTTTACTATTTGCCTTTGTGTAGGAATTACCCATGGCCAATACTGTTGGTGTAAAAAAAAATGAACATTATATACCAGTAATAATCTTAAAAATTATATAAACATCTTAAGAGATGTACTAATTCTAAAAATAAAGTTAGACTATAGGAATAAAAACAAATTATAAAAAATGTAAGTTTCTAAATTTGTCAATACTTACAATGTGGAGACTCTTAAATGATTCAGCTTGAACTTTGAATACACTACACACCTTTCTGTTCACAGATAAATGTTGTTAGAATAAACTGATAGCTATCAGATCTTGTAATTATGATCTGTAAAATACACCAAAGTTTAACATCATATTTTTATAATACATATATATTGCATAATGATAATACAATAAACATTTTACATTATTATTAATAAGAGTATGGTGATAAAAGAAAATCACAAGTGTTGCTGACTTTTGTTATGAAATGTATGTTAACAAACTAGCTATATACTTGCGTTTGTTTAAAATTTAAAATATAATACAAAAAATTAAAATAAATTGAATTGTGTAGCTTTTTTCAACATTTTATCATAATTCAAAGAATTAATGGCTTACAATTTTTACATAGCTCAACCACTAATGTTGTCCTGAAATACAACCTCTTTTCTTGCTAGGAAGGAATGGCATTTAAACACACAGCAGCCGTCAAAACTTTAACACCTGAAAGCATACAATTTAGGAACCCTTTAAACTTTAAAAGTATTATAAAGTAAATAAACTCATGTAGTTAACTAAAGATTGTGTTAAGAAATATAACACCCTTTGGTCTTTACTTATACAAGTAGTTATTCCATTATATATCAATGGCTCAAGTCTCAAAAGTCTCAAGTTCAAATCAGCGTCGAAGTCAAAACAAGTAAAACAACGAATAAGCACTCTCGTATAGAACGATGTTCTCGATTAATCTAGATTAAAAATTAGATTTGTTACATTGTTTAAAGTTTTTAAGTTTAGTCGTTCAAAGTGTAAATTCTATATTTTAGTAGGCCTAGATAGTAGAGTAGAGCACTATGACGAGATCAAGATCAAGATATAAATCTAGTCTAGCTAAATCTAGTCTATATCTATATACTAAACATTTTATTTATTAAATTAGTTGTCTCTAGACTTTAGACCTAGACTCAAGTGTTGGTTTAGATCTAGATTCTAGATCTAGTTTTAAAAGAAGTTTTAAGGCCTAAAGTTTAAACTAGAAATCGTAGACGTAGAGAGACATAACATCATTACTCGTAACTCTAGGCTAGGAGTCTAGGACTAGAAAAGTCTAGCTTAGATCTAGTTCTAGGATATCTGTCTCTATATCTATCGAGATAGTATCTACTAGACTCTACTGGTCTAGAATCTAGTAGATCTAGATATAGATCTAGAATAAAGTCTAGATCTAGATCTAGATTTCTAGTAAGATTTAGATTACCAAGATTTAGATTTTAGTTTAGATCTAGATTCGATTTAGATTCTAGATCAAGTAAGAACTAAGAACAGATTGAAAATGAAATCTAGAACTACATATCTAGTATTATTTAGACCTAGGCCTAGCTTAGTAGGTTGAGTCTAGAATTCTTGTCAACTTGATACTAGATCTACATCTAGATCATCTAGAATATAGATTCTAGTAGACCTAGCTAGATCTTCATCTAGATTCTAGTACTAGACTAGATCTTGATCGACATCTAGATCTAGATTCTAATACTAAGTCGGTCTACCTAAGTAAATAAGTAGTAGAATCTAGATTAGATCTAGATCTAGATCTAGTAGTGTTGTAGATACACAGCTGACCAACAAGATCTAGAATCTCTATAGCACGAATCTATAAATGTAGATAAAGTGTAGATTCTTAATAGTTGTACATTTTAAATCTAGATCTAGATTTAACTAATTAATTAATATGTTTGTACTAACTCTAAGTAGTGTAGGCAAACCCTACCAGTTGTTTTTTTTTAATACTTTTATTTGCAATTAAAACAAGTAGGCCTACATCAACATCACATTTTTTACATAGTTTCAATTGAAAACGAAAAGTTTTGCACATGTACATAATGAATATTTACATGATGGCATGTATATGATTATATAAAAAACAAGTTAATAAAGTCTAGTGACAATTTAAGCGCAATTTCCTTAATAAATTTTTGTGACCGAACGAATCACCCGTAGATGTTTGCCCCCCCATTTTCGTTTTCGTTTCACTCCACACGAGCAGAGCTAGTCCCCGCCCCCTCGCGAGATCTGCGCGAGTCTGGCCAATGGCAGCGTGACGTTACCTCTCACTAGCGACTGCCTCAGCCGGTGTGCTTGTGGTAGAAATATTTGTATATTCTTAGTAATCTTAGCCAATACAAATTAGAAGAAATTAATTATTTGTGACCGAACGAAAGGATATTTTTGAAAACTTTCTTCGGCAATATTGTTCTAAATTATGGCAGGAATCGATTGGTAAATGTTCAAGCCGCTAAGTGGTCTGGATGCCGAGATATGGGCCAAAAACTGCATTTTATTCGAGTTTTTTGGCTTTTCCGGGAAATCCAGGAAGGAATTCCGGGATTTTTTTAGCCTATGTTCATCCTCGGAACTTGCTTAACATATTTGCTTTGGAACTGGTCCTCGATATTGCTTCGTTGAGGAGGAGATACGACTTAAAGACGACTTAAAGGTGCGGACACACATTCCCAGAAATGACGAGTTAATAAACGCAATTCTCCAGAATGGAAATCGCGCTAAAAATTACAATGGATGACAGTAAAAGGGGTTAAGGTCAAATGAAAGTGTCAAAAGTCTGGATGGGGAGTGGCAAGGAAATTTTTTCAGAGAATGTCAATGGGACAGTGAAGCATTTTCTATGTAGGGAAACAAAATAAGTTGACTAGTTAAAAGAGTGTGTATTTATGTACTGGTCGCATTGAGTTTTCAAAAGGTTGCTGTGTGAAAGATGAGGGGAAAGAAAAAGATTTAGAACTTTAAAAAAGTAAATGAATAGATATTCGAAATTGATGTTGGGGTGGGTGGTGGGGTCGTTGGAACAGTTAAAGGGAAAGTGGGGTTTTTATGTCTGAGGGTAAGTGGATAGAAGGGGAGAGGGGGAGGGGGTAGATGTGTCTGACGAGGCGTGGAGAGGGTGTCTGCATGTTTTAAGGCAAGCCAAGCGTCAAATTATGTGTTGTGTTATCTAACTGCCGAGGTGTTACTTTTTATAGTGTGTGTGTGGGGGGGGGGGGGGGGAGAGGGTTTGACGAACAGATTGCTGTGTGAGCGATTTAGTTGGAGGGTCAAAGGTTGGTATGTTCAAGTCGGTGTTTATGTTTAGTTGAATGTTTAGTACCGACAGGTTAGGGGTGGGTAGGCGTGTAGCTATCACGGGGTTTGGGGATAGAGTGGAGTTTTATAGGTCAAAAATTGGTGTTCACATAAAAGAGTTAGTAAAGTTACCAAAACAAATGTAAGTGTTAATTTGGTGATAATAAAATGAATACAAAAGGAGTAGGGGTCATTGGGGTCATTTTGTACGTTGTGGACCAAAGTAACGTACATATGTGATAATAGTAAAATAGAAACAAATTGATGGCTTTACAATGTTTGTAAGCTGTATAAATAAAACAATGCAGAAAACGCAACAATAGGAAACTGAATGGCAAATGATAAATGATGCGAAACAAGGTGGGGACATGGGGGTTGAAGGGTGTGAGTCACATTAATATTGTTAGAAATGTATTTGGATAATACATCATTTTCAGTATTTAACATAGTATTTCTTCACAGAGGTGGGGGTCATGGGGACGAGGGGATGCAGTTATGCGGTGAAATTTGATATTGGGATCATGAGGTTTATGGGCGGGGAGGTTGTGATGAAAGACATGTTAGATTAGGCGGGCCAGGTGGCAAATGCAGTGCAATATGTTCTTTACTTTGTGGTGTTGCTAATTATGGTATATGTGTTTGAGTGCTGTCATTGTCGAGTCGTCTACGATAAATCAAGTCTAGTACGTGTCCCATGAACTGTACCTTGTCGTGTTTTGCTTTTATTCTACTGTTCCATATAGTCTGTCTATATATAGCTACCGTCCTTGCTTTTTGCTCGAGGTCCGTCCTGTCTCTTTGTTTTGGGATTTTGTTTAGAGTTATGACTATATCGATATTGAAAGTCTCGTTTTTTGTTATTTTGGTTTCTAGCGTCTTTTTCATGTTTTGTATGGTGGGGCATTCTAAATAGATGTGCGTTTCGGTTTCGGGTGTGTTTTGTCTGCATAGTGGGCAAAAGGGTTTCTGTTGTTTTGCTAGGGGTGTTGAATTGTAGATGAGTCTGTATGTTATTTCCCTAGCTTTGGGTGTGATGGTTTTGAGGTGTAGGTTCCTGAACGTGTCTATTGTGTCTGTTAGAGCGTATTTCCTACACCATTGAATTCTATTGTATAGTGGGGTTGAGAGTTTTTGCACTAACTTTTTGTAGATGTTTTGTGATTTTTCGTGAAAAAATTTTTCGTTGTTTTTTAATATTTGTCAACATTCTTTGTAAAAGTTACTATGTTTTCCACTTATGTAATGTGGAGTTGTATTATTGATTTTAGTAAGTTTGTTAAGCTGAATGCCTATATAATAGTGAGCTAGAGAGTGAAAGTTTAGTTGGCTAATTATTCTGCTAATGTGTGTTAAGTCTGAATGTATTGATTTTGGCCTGTATATCGTACAGGTTTATTCCTCAATGAAGTTTGTTTTGTACTAACGTGTTGTGGCTAATGTTTGTAATTGTGTTCTGAAATATGTACTCTCTAATGATTTTATTAAGATGTTTGATTGTTGGCTTTGGGATTGTTTTAGCCGTGGCTATATAGGGTTTTTTTTTTGGGATGACGTCCCTATTAATTATAGATGACCTAGCAAAAATTGTTGTTGAGCTAAATTTAGAAAAAGTCCTATGGTGTTTTGGATTTTGCTTGAGACTTATCTCCATTCATCATCGTTATTGGTGTGTGGGTTACTATAGTGGGTTATGCCGTAAAGTTTTAATTTGTTGTACCTAGCATGTTATTGGGTAATTGGGTTTGTTGATCCAACGTCCAAGTCCCATGATTTTGGTTTTCATTACGTTAATTTTTCGACCCCCTACCAGTTTGCTAATGAAATGACGCGAAATGATCGTCTGCTGTAAAACTGCTTTTTTGAAGTATCGATATCATAATTTAGGGGTTAACTTGCCATTTAGGCCTTAAGTTAGAGAAATTAGGCTATTTTACTGTGATTATTTTTTTTAGAGAAATTACGGGGATTATTTTTTAAAAAAAGTAGCTTAAATATCTGCATATTTTAAAAACATCATCTTTCGTTTTAATTTCAACATTTTATAGAGCTATGATGTGTATCTCAATATTAGTAGAACGTTTAAATATTATTTAAATGTTGATATGGGTCACATTGACATACATAAATACTAGCCTAAATCTAAATAGTCCATTTTTTGCGACTTTCTACCACATTATATTTTACATACTTCAGCAAAACTGATCAATAGAATCAATGAGTTTATGTAGGGGTCACTCCTTGCAGATCATTTGGCATCATTACGAGATAATTCATAAGTGATTGTATTTTAATTTATGTGTCCGAAAACGTTTCATATGTAGACCGTATTCATTTTTTCTAGGTGAATTCAATTTGATTATT